TAATAATTATTTGAGTATAAAATTGTAAAAATTTATTTATTTTTGATTGTGCTATGAATTTTTTAAAATGTACTACCGGTAGTACAAAAGCCTAAATCCTATCCATTAAAATAAACCAAAAAATCGCCATTTGTTATGCGTTAGTAATCACAGTTGGAAGTTATGATAATTTATTGTCAAAATCACCTAGAAAGGTTTAAATTAAATTAAATAAGGCTATCTAATAAAAAAATGTGTCCTGCACATATGGTGGACAAAAGGAATACAGTCAGACCCCCTAAATGTAACCCCCTAAGTGCATGTCCTATGAAAAGCCTCCCTAAATGCACGTCTTCTCTTGGGCCCAACTAATATTATGCTTATAGATTTTTACCTCCCTAAATGCAATACTCTCTAAGTGCACGTTTGGCAGAATTTTTACATATGGTCCCCATCGCATTGCATTTAGAGAGGTCTGACTGTATGTCTAATTGCATACTTTTCATCCACAGAATATATAATTTATGCATGCAATTTAGGAAACATCCAGCATTATCAGACAGCCAAGAACTAAAATAATTTCTAATGACCGCGGCTCTTTTACATTTTCCCACGCAGTTTTTGTAATAGTTAGATCCCCAACAACGTCCCAATTATCTTTAGTTAGTTGTTCAGGTCTCTTAAGGGATGCTATAATCACTTTATTCTTTTTCTTTGCTGATCCAATCAAAGATGGTTGCACTTCATATTCAATCCATTCACAAATAAGATCGCAATCCTTTGCACCAAAAACACTCGGTCTCCATCGATAATCTTTTCCTTCAAAATCAAAGTGCCAGGTGTTGCTGATCGATCCTGTGCGACGAAATTCGGTATCTGCACCGATAAGACATTCGCTTTTTATGGTAATAGTTGGCTCACCTGATGGAGAAACTTGTTGCGCTTCAAGTATTGTAAAATCATTATATACTTGCTTCAAAACACTACGATAAAGAGAGGTTTTAGATGGTATTATATGTTTTAAATAAATCGTATGATAAACTGGATCGTTTTCATAAATATCTTTACAATTCTGTGATGTTGTTGTATAATGTTTTTGATCAATCCCTTGGAGTTCTTTTTTTGCTGTTTCGCCTACTTTAACATTTTCAATTGGATAAAGAACTTCGATATCGCTTCGTGCGGATAATTTTCGAACAACAAGATAAGTTAAGGGTCCCTGATAAACATTGCTGCTTAAAAATTCTGACAGTCTTGCAAATGACTCCGAGGAACCATAAAGGCGAGAAGGTATGATCGTACCTATTTCAGGTTGAAAAATTCCAGAATGTGTTTTTCCTTTGCGCATCGATATGGGGCGTTTACGGTCTGTTGTACCCCTTGCTTTATCTGCTAATGCAGTTGTTTCATCTGTGAATGAGATTTTGGTTTTTTCATAGCTATCAACTTCATTAGCTACGTTAAGATCCGCACTTTCTTCCTCAGGAACAAAATTAAAATAGCTGTCTGAAGCATTAGGAGTCTTTGCTGGATCCTTTGTTGTATTTTTGGATATATTTATGTCCTGAGAAGGTTTCTTTTTGATAACATTCGTAAATAATTTTAACATTGTCTTGCCGGAAGAGTTTTTGGGAACATTTCTGCAACATGCGTGCACAGATAATTGACCTTTTATACATCAATGATGATTGTCACCAATTAGGTGCTAATTACGTATTATTTATATTACGCATGATGAATAATGCTTATTAATTAAGGGTCCAGACACGCATTAACGATAAAGTTGGAAAACCTTTATCGGCAGTCATTTCACCGACATCACCTAGGGTGACAATTTAGCATGTTATTAGTTTTGGCATATAACTTGTAAATTGTCACGTTATGTGATATCGGTTAGATGGCTTGTCGGTAAAATGATTTGTCGCATACGGACCCCCACAACGATGGTCCAATAAAATCTTCGCAATTTCCGATCCTGCAAACTTCAAATTTATGATTATCTTCAATCATAGCCAATTTTTTTTAATGGTTTATGTTTATACATAACAAAAAAATTAGTTCATAAAAAATCAGATCATAATTTAATGTTAACAAATTCAAAAGGTTTTCAAAACCAGAAAATATTTAATATAAAACATTATATAACACGTGTGCTTATATGTTAATTTGAATCTATAACGATAATTTTCCCATCGCACAAACAACAATCTAGCCTTTCATTAAAAAGCTTTCAAAAGTTTTCTTAGTGATAAACAATAAAAAAAAATAAAGATAAAATACATATGAAGGAAAGAGATCACATTCCAATGAAATTAAAAGATATATATCCTTTCATCTAATAGCATTCAGCTTCTTTGTAGCAACTCTTAATTTACTTGCTGTCTGATCAACATTTTCACTCAATTCAGATAACATTCGATTCTGAATTTCTAGTTCTTGACCGATGGCAACTCCAATATGTCTATGTCTGTTCAATATAGCACTAAATTGTTCAGCATGACGATCTTGATCTTCCATTGTTTGTTTTTGCAATTCGACAAGCCCTTTATTGTCTAATCCTCGAGTTGCTTCAGTTTCGATAGTCATAGCTCGACTGTTACCAAACACTCGTCGTGATGTTGGTGCCTTTTGGACGATTGATGAATCATTAGCCGAAGCACCAATTCCATTATTATTAATTAGTGGTAATGATCGTTGTCTAATTGGCGCTCTGAATAACGCTGCTCGATCAACTGAACTTGCTGGTTTTGTAGCTTTATTAATATCTGGTCGGTGTGCCAATACAAGTTTAGTTAATGTATCTTTTTCGTCTTTAAGATCGTTCAAAAGATCTTGTCGCCTTCTTAACTCTCCTTCTGACATGATTCTTCCGTCTCTTCCCGTTCCCTTTGCCAATCCTATGAGTCCACTTTCAAGTTGAGAAGTTCGAACTCCAAGAGTCGTCAGGCTCTTCTTGGCTTGTACACTACAATTATGTGATGCTTGAACTTCATTACGTGCAATATGTGTTTCACGACGGTTAATAAGTGAACGAATTTCTTTTGTTATAGCTTGTACTTGATGATATTCATCAAGCCAACTTTCTGAAGAGTACATAGTCGTAGCGTCAAGAGGCCTTCCGGTTGGTATTGATAGAAATTCTTTCCATTCTTCTGTTTCTCTCCAACGAGCATCTTTATGAAACAGAATGCCGTTTAAATAATCTTCTAAGCCCCTTCGTCTTTCTTCAACCAACACTGGATTCCCTAAAGTTGATTGAAAGTAATGTTTTGCAGGAATTTCAAAAGGTGGTGGATTATTTGGAAAAAGCCGCACCAATTTATCATTCAATTCGTCAAATTCACTATAACGTTTCCAAATAGACCATGTTCTAACTTCCGCATGCACTTCAACACGATAAACAATGTGAGGTTTAGGCGTGTTTCGTGTTTCTGTTTCTCGAATATAAATGTTTTTAATATTTTCGCTCATGTTCTCTCGATAAATCGTGTGAATACGGTTCTAACAGAACTTAAAGATTAGGAGTCATTTTATATGTTTCACTATTACGATTTTGGTTTACAATTACAGTTACGCAAATTTGCATTTACACGTTGTGGCGTCATTATGATACGCATGATGCCGATAAAAAAGATCTGATCGTTATTATATATGTTTATTATCAGCAGTACTGTTTTTATATATATATAAGATATATATATACGTATATATTAAATCTTAAAAAGATGTTGAAACAAATGATCTTGAAATTAAGGAAATTCATTACATATGAGCAAAGATGATATTTCTTCAAAACCAAATGGTATGTGATAAAAAAATAATCTACATGTGTGCTTTATAAATAAATATGATCTCTTTACTAATATCTTGCAAATCAAAAAATGGCAATCTTAATAATAAATTTGTTAGCAATATTAAAAAAAAACATTTAAGTATTAACAGTATTAAGAACAAGTGGTTCTTTCAAGCTTCTTCTCTTTTCATCCTCTTTGATAAAAATTTCTGCGACTTCTGCAAGTGCTTCATCTTTATCAACTTCTTGAATAGCTTCTTCGATAGCGGCCTTTTTTTTGGCTTGCTCATCCGCGCTCACTTTTTCTCGAGTCGGTGGCAAACGTTCGTTTTCGAGATCAGATCGACGCGCATCTTCGAAAGAGGTTATGGCTTTTTATAGTGTAGAATAAAATTAGTTCATTATCGTGCACGTTACACAGAAATAATAAGTAATGTATGTGATCTACCTTGTTTGATTCCCTCAGCACCCAAAGCTAAAGTACCATAAGGCAATTTACCAGTACCAGTGACGTTCTTTAATTCCATAACACGCTCTGATTCTTCTCTGTTTAAGATGAGTAATAGTAAATATTATTGTGTAATTTCAATAGACATGATTCGATTTGCTTAAAATACCTAAGAACGGAAAATACTCTAGCCATTTTACCAACTGCCAAAATCTTACTTTTGATAATTTGGCGCCTTTCTGCTCCGTCAGCTGGCGTTATCTCTGAAACATAATCTTATAATTATTGAGAAGGATAATAATGTATTATACCGTATAGCGCGGACGAGAAATTTCATGGTAAAATGTAAAATATCCCACTACTTGTCGTCCGTGGAATGTATTGTGGTCCGCGCTGTACGGTAATCACGTTCGTTATGTTGTCTAATATCTACCTGTTGATTTCTCTTCATCTACAAGCTCTTCATCTAGCAATTCCTCTTTACTACAGATATTTAAGATAGCAAGGAGCATGTCCGTAACTAGATGTAAGATATTACTATAGGTGAATTAAGTTCGTTCAAATTGTCAAAATTAATATATACACATAACACAAATGTAACTCATACTCTTTTCACCCACAAAAGGTAAAGACCAAGTGAATACATCCATAAAATTTGGTAACCAATAGGGATGAGGCGTATAATTGAACTGGCGAATATTCATGACATTGTTCTCATATTTTAACACAGCAGCTAAAAAAAAACGATTTATCGCCTTAGTTATCAGTAATATACAAAATATAATAATAATGTGAACAAACCTTTATTATTATATACGTCTAAATAATTAGGTGCCGAAAAAATTGTCATAACGGACGGAAAACCAGTGGTCTTTGTCTTACGATACATTCGGTACCTAACCAACATATTTAGAATGAATAACTCAAATGAAACGTTATCAAGAGATTATAATTTCTTACCCTGCATCTTGAGCTTCATGTGCGCGAATAATTGACAATAATCCATTCTTTTCCAAAAAGTTACAAGCGGCATGGTAACTGATCAAACGATTGACAAGATATTAAATTCTAGCTTGATGCCATGATTAAATGTAATTATAATTTACCTAAAAAAGTAGGAGCACCCCCGAACATGATTATGTACAAAACATTCATTTGTTTTTTCTTGTCCAAATTCTTCTAGTGGATCAGCCCATAACAAATCGCACATTAACCCATGTGTTGGCGGTTCTCGGAATCTCTCGATCTAGCCGAATATTGGAGTGAATTACTTATTCTGCAGATACTTAAAATGTAAATACATACTTCACGTAAATCATCCAAAGTATTCAGATCTGGTGATAGGCCACCATGAATGCATAGAAATTGTTTATTCATTATGGCAGCGAGTGGAAGTGCACAAAAAGACTCCATACAAGCGTCATAAACTTTCTCGGAATATTTATGTTTACCTAAGGTATACGATTATAAAGACTTTGTTATATGAACGTTAACAATTGAATGAGAAATAAACCAACTTACATTCCAATTTAAATGTAAAATAATCCGTCAAATGACGACATTCATGGTTACCACGCAACAAGAATAATGTATTAGGGTACCATATCTTTAATGCCCATAAATAAAGAACACACTAAAATATATAAAAAGTGAGCCGAATGCCTAACAATGATCTAAGATATTCGCTAACAGAATGTCCCTTCAGGAATATTATTAAATAGTCCCGAGTGATCATTTATTATCAAAATTTTCATATAAAAATCCATGAAAAAAAACCTCAATAGAAAAATATCCTCTGTCGACGTAATCACCAAGAAAAAGGTATCGAGTCTCTGCTGGATTACCACCAACTTCGAATAATTTCATCAAA